CCAGAAGGCAGTTGCTCCTGGAGAAGGCCAGGAAACGCCTAGGGAGCCTTTTAGAAGCACGCTACCCGTACGTCCAACTGCCCTGGGTTCCAGGGCAGCTGGTCCAGTAGATGCCACCAGAGTCAGAGCAGTGACAAGATGGAGAGAGAGCACAAGCACTTTCACAAAAGAGTTAGGGCCGGGTCAGTGGTCTCCATTGTTCCCGAAGATGGTTTTTCCACGTAAATCCAAGTTGTAAATACCTACATCTTCTGGCTGAGCAATGCAGTTGTCAGGACGGCCTCCTGCAGAAGTTGCCTGAACACATTCACTAAAGACGGGTACTAACTGCTGGGTTAACTAGGGGAGGTAAGGCAAATGACAACCAAAATGTAAGCAGAAGACTGATTTAACAGCATGAATATTTATTTTAATGAAGACACTTAAAGGAAAAAGTTGTTGTACATGCACTAACATGAAAATGTATCCATCGTGGATTGTAAGTGAAGAGCTGGTGAAATATTAATGGAATTAAATACTACACGGCAGTGAAAATGAATCAGTAATGACACCATCAGTGTGGATATATCCCAAACAGCACCAAGACAAAGGAAGGGGGGACAGTTTACAGGAACATTCACGTGACATTACAGTATTTATATAAAGTGTTATGCGTTACAGACATGTCCAAACTCCCCACCATAAATGTAATTATGATGTACTGCAAGCATATACTAATTTAAGGAGATAAATAAAAAACGAGTTTTAAAATATGCCACATAATGCCAGACATTGTTCGGAAATATTCATATCTGATAAATAATCGCACATAACAATAATAACAGCAATGATGGCATTGAAACGCACAGGACAAATGAGAACGCTAAGCACTAAATTCAGGACGGTGAATACTTCCGGCCGGTGGAGAAGAGAGAATTGTTACAGGGGAGCAAGCACAGGTTTGACAGTACTGATTGCACTGCATTTCTCAAGCAGAGGACGCACATGCGTGGGCCTTGCCTGCCTCTCTCTCGTTCTTTCTGCAGGACCGAACTGTTCCGCAGTACGTCGCTCAGTGAGTGGCCGGCCATGCACACCGAGCGAGCATTCGGTGAGCGCTCAGACAGAGAGCGTGGCAGCTTGGCTGGCGGCGGCTGACAGGCTGCCGTGGGAGCCCCGTGTTCCAGGGGCACGGCTGCATTTCCCTCTCTAAGGACTCCCGGGGCTTAGACTGAGTGTGACCGTCTCCTACTGCAGGGAACAGGGAGGTCCAGAGAAGGGAAATGGCCGTTCAAGGGGTCTCCGGTGCTCAGCACCCAGCTGAGTAGAGAACAGGAACGGTTCTGACCCCCAGCCTGCCCTCCGGGGTGCCATCACACTACGCACAGTAAAAACATGCCGCTTTGAGCCAATAGTTCGTTTGGCGATGCAGCAAGACCTCATCCACCTGAGTGCCATTTCAAAGGCAGGACGGATCGGCGTACGGGGGCGGGGGGTGAGGCTTATGCTTTCAGTTGCCTCTTTCAGGTATTCTCTGGTTTTGAATGAACTGTTGCATAGGAGAAAGTATTTGAATATGTGGAAAAGGACAGAGCATGAGAAACAACGTGAAAAGCATCTAACTCTACCCCTAACTTGCTCTATCACCTTGGACAAATCACTGTCCCTCTGGGCCTTGGCGTGTGTGTGTGTGTGTGTGTGTGTGTGTGTGTGTGTATTTAAAATGGGGAAATACAAGTGTCAGCCTCACAGGACTGCTCTGGGGTTGGGATGAGCCCCAAGTGAAGATGCCCTTGGTGAGTGTAAGTCACCCCTGGAGGCCAGGGCACTAGCAGAGGTGTGCTGGGAGAGGACTGCTACTGACCAGCAGACGGGACTCCACTGCCCCTCATCCTGCCCCTCCTCTGACCTGTGCCCCACAGAATCATCACAGGTTCCAGGGGAATCAGAGCAACACTCTGTCCCAGTGTCCTTGTTCCCACAAGACTGGGACAGGAAGGCAAGCGGGGTCTTCTCTGGCTGCAGCAAGCCCTCCAAAGCCAGCGCCTACGGCCTGACCCAGTGACTGGCCTGCAGGAAGCCCTGAATGAGGGAAGGATGAGTTCCTAGAAGGATGGGTTGAGAGGATGGACGGAGGGATGGATGAATGAAATGATAATTAAATGAGAGTGAGACAAAGAAGCTCAGTTGACCTTCTTAGCTATAAAATGCAGATGAGGCCAGAACCTTCCCTGATGCTGAGACTCAATGATACAAGCAAAGCAAGGCTGAGTAGCTCTGGGAACGAGAAGGAACATCCCTGAGTTCCAAGGACGGTGCCGGGTTACCTCTGTTTTCTTCTCTGTGGTTAACATAGTGAGACCCGGCCATGGGTGATTTTGCCATCCACAAGGGGCCGTCTGGCACTGTATGGACTCAAGTGGTTGTCGCACAGGGACTGGGTGGGACGGGTATGCTTCTGGCATCTGCTAAGGGGAGGCCAGGGATGCTTCTTGTGCCCATGTTTGTGCACAGCAGAACTGATCCAGCTCCAGCAGAGCAGGCAAAGAACTAAAAGCCTGCAGGCTGGTCCAGATGTTCCTGGTTTTATTTTTGCTTTTGTCCAACGCGTTCTGGTGTGACTTTTCAAGGCTCACAGAGCCTTGCTTCATTACTGTTACTACGGTGGTGTGACCCTGGGCGGCCATGTTCCCCCTCCGGTCTTGAAGTTCTTCTCTGGGTAGTTTATACCCAGAGTCTCTGGGGACCTTTTGGTCTTTAAGATGTGATCTTGATCTTTTGGGTCCGTTCCTTTTGACCAGCCAACCAGGACAGGCTTAGGAGGTCTTTATTGTGGAAACTGAAGACAGAGTGGACCCTTGACTTTCTAACTCAGTTCATTCACAAGGGCTGGTTGTAACTCAGGTTGGTCAGTTGAAGGCTCAGGCTCCCTACACAGCCTCCAAAGGCTCTCTCCTGTGTAATTTTAGGCCACACTTTCTTCCACACTTTTTTTCAGCCCAGGATGCCTCAATTAACCCCACACAGGAAAAGATGTTATAATGTTCCTTCCAGAAACCTTTAAGGGTTAAGTTTGTGTCTCAGACCATCTTGAAGCACAAGCAGCCAGCATTTGGGTCCTAACTCAAGACTCTGGTCATAAGTTAAACTAAAATTCCAGTCATAACCCAAGCTGTTCTTACGTCAGGCCAGTTGTAACTCAAGGATCCACTGTACCAGAAATAATCACTGGATTGGGTATCGTAATGATGGCTACAAGAGTGACTAACATTTCTGTAATATATTTACCAAAAGTATACCCAGTGATTCAGCCTCGAGTCCTGCATCCCAAAAAGGACTGTAAACAGTCCTGTGGAGACAGAATTATCACTGCTACCAGGAAACTACACTCCAGTGGCTCGTGACTCAGTGGCTGCACAGAGTGCCCATGTCCCTGTGGACGTGTCATTGCCCTCCCTGGGTCTCTCAAGGCCAGTTATGATGCTCAGCCACTTCTGTAAATCTTTCTCTCATTGAACAGTTAAATACAGTACTGGAAAATGTCACATAGTAGAAGGAAGAAAAAAGTGTCCTAGAAGATCCCACCCACCAGAGGCAACAGAGACTGTCGCAGTGACACCCTTTCTTCAGTTTAAAACATGACTCTCTGCTCTGCAATTTGTTTGACTTGGCTGTTTCTAGTAATTTTCATACAAGCCATAGAATTTTATGTCTTGCTCTTCTCGCTGAGCATACTGCAGAGACACCCACAGCGCTGTCTCCTCACTCCCATCGCGGGGTGACAATGACATTATTGCACCAGGAGATGCTGTGGACGGAGCTCTGTGCCTCTCCTGGCCACACTGCTACTCTTGGGCATGCAAAGCACAGTGCTTCAGGTTCTGAACCTGGGCTTTTCCCACTGCAGTGGGGCGCTTTCCAGTATAATCTCCCATCTCCCCATCAAAGTTAGAAAAAGGGAGACAGACAGAGAGAGAGAGAGAGACAGAGAGAGAGAGAGAGACAGAAAAGCAGTATCTATGTGTCTTTAATGAAAACTCCATCTCTTCTTTCTGATCTCTGTATTTGGTTATCCCTGTGTGTCTGTCATCCTAAATTCTCAGTGGCAGGAACATATCTTAAGAGTGCTGACTGTCAGCTGGGGAGAAAGTTGATAACCCCGTACTGTCACTGGTGGGTGGATGGATGACTTGGTGGATTGACAGCATCTCAGGATAGCGCCAAATGTCCACGATAGAGGAAGGCTCAGCCAAATGTGACAACTGAGATTGATATTTTTTTAAGAGCTTTGAGGAAAAAGGAGTGAATTTAACTCAACGGTCATGGGGGCCCCAGGAAAACCGGTCCATTAGAGCAAGTTATTAAGTTTCTGGGTCTCTGCAGTGCTGGAATCCAATTTAGACTAATTCTCAGTGGGACTTGGCTTTGCCTAATGCTCACCTGGCCGACATCCCAGCTACAGACAAGGCCCACAGGCAGCACTCACTGCAGGCCACAGATACACACTCAGCTGTCTTGGACTTGGCTCGGAAAATGGAGTCAACAGCAAGATCCCAGCTTGTGTGGACCTTCGGAGAAGGACTGGAGGCAGGGATGCATCTGGAGGATATGAAAGGCCCCCCAGACCCAAAAATCTTCAGTGGGAAAGGGCTGGCTCTCCACCAGCTGCATTTGCTCCCTCGATACCTCGCAGCAATGGTGATCCTGCCCAGCCTGGGGACCCGAGGGTGGGAGCGGAGGCCAGGAAAAGGAAGTAATCATGGATCTTCTCCCGCTTTTCCTTCCGTGTTCTTCCGGTCTGCTATTCACCGGGATTCTGGTCTTGGAGGGTTGGGAACCCGCCCCCCCGGAAGTCACAGGCCTTGGGAGGAGTCGGAGCCACCCCTGTTTCCATCCACCTGCCACTAGGGCACCTAGAAGTCAGAGCCGAAGAGGACCACGTAGCGAGTCAGGAGATGACAGACTCCTGGGAGGCTTCTCTGATTGCTCTGACAAGGACCTCAGAAGAGAAGAAGTAACAGATGCCGGTGAGGAAACCCTTCTACACTGTGTTAAGAATGTACATCGTGCAGCCATTATGAAGAAAAGTACCGAGGTTCCTCCAAACACTAAAACTAGATCTACCATATAATCCAGCTCCCCTGTTACTGGCTGTGACCAAGGTGCTCCTCAATGGACAGACGAACAAAGAAAATGTGGTCGGCACACGTGGATACACACACACACGCCTCAAAAAGATAATGAGATTTGTCATTTGCAGCCACCCGGATGGACCTAGAGGACCACCATATAAAGTGAACCAGGCCAGATACAGAAGGCAAATACCACACGATCTCACTCATTTGTGAAACGAAAATCACAGGGTAGAATGGTGGCCATTAGGGACAAGGGAGGGTTGAGTGAGCGGAGACAGAGAGGTCAGGTAGCAAGTGCCAAATATAATCAGCTAGGAGGGGCCGTTCTACTGCTCTATGACACAACAAGGCAACTGTGGTCCCCAGAGATCTATGTCTCAAAATAGCTGGAAAAGGAGAATCCAGATCAACAATCCACAGAGAGGTTTTTCCGTCTTCACCTTCCCCAGAGCCATTGCTGCAGATACGGACGTGGTGAGTCTGAATTCAGGGTGACCCCTGGGTGGGCTTCTTCTCTGGGAATTTGACAAGGGAAAGAGAAGGCTCCATTCAAGCTGAAAAGAAGACAGCAAGAGACAATATCCTGTGTTTCTTACAACAGTTTCACGGTCTCTGAGGCCAGAAAAAGCCAATATTAAGACCCAGCTTTGCTGTGTGACCTAAGAAGTCATTTAGTATCCCAAAGCTTCAGTCTGCTTGTCTGTAAAACAGGGATCATAATTTAAACCTGTGAGGTTGAGAAAGAATGCCATGAGCTCACAGGTGCAAAGCATTTAGCACTTGCCTGGCACCTATTTGACACGGAATATAGCAAATAAAATAAAATACGATGACTACGTCTGTTAGTATGGTCACAATGCATTGTCCTGCTTTTTGTGCAGATGACAGGATGTCATACACCCCCAAACTTTGCCATCAAAGGGACATACTTGGGAAGGAGGGGACAGCTGGCCACCGGACCCCGCAGAAGTCATCAGCCAATTCAGCAATGCAAGTTCTTGCCCGATTAGGGCAGGGTTAACAAATGGCTCTGAAAATAACGGTCAATTACTTGGTTGTTTCAAAACCCAACAATGCCAGAGCTGGAAGGGCCCTTGAGTCCTAGCTGGTGCGGCTGCCCACTTGTCACACACAGGGAGCAGCACAGATGGCACCACTGCTCAGGTCCCCGGACCCCTGACCCCAGCCATGCTCTTTCCATCCAACCCTAGCTGGGTGCCCGCCCCGTCACCCTTCGCTCTTGTCATCCCTGACCCTCTCCTCACTCTGCAGTCTATCCACAAAGACAGGCCCCGTCACTCACTTGATAAAAGCCATGGTGAACCCAAAAGGCACAGCTCTCTGAGCAATCTCATTTCTGATCAGATCCTGTGAGGTGGACAGAAGATCTCAGGAGAGGAAGCTGGGCCTGGAACAGCACATGGGCTCAGCCAGGCTTTGCTGCGCTGGGGACTCCAGCAGGCAGAACTCCAGCCCAAGTGTTCCCTTGGAGCCTCCATGTCCCCCAGTTGGACCAGGAAGCCTGCTTGTCCCCTGAATGGCCTTGACCTGCCCTCTTGTAGCCACGCACCACCAGGAATGAACGAGACTATGGTCTGAAATGAGCACTCGCTGGAAGTCAGTGCTCTACACGGCAAGACGTCGGTGCCAGTCACAAACTGTTGCAGTCTGTACAGATGAAGCCACCGCCACCAACTCAGTGAAAGTCAATGAGCCTTCCCGATGGCTGCTCAAATAAATTTCCCTGACCGCACTGACAGGCCAGGAGATTGGTTAAGTGAGCAAGCATCTCTCCACGGGAAGTGGACAAGGGCAGTCGTGAGTCCAAGGGCCTCCATTCCGGGGACGCGATTCTCTCTACCTCGGTCCCAGCCCGGGACAATGAGGACAGCGAACATGGGGGAGGGCAGCTGGCACCCACTCAGCCCTCACACGGAACAGACTCACCGGATGATGACAGCCCCGGGAAAAAGGGCAGCAATGGCCCCAAGTGACAGCCAGGAAAGCGAGGCTCACACACAGGAAGCCAGGAACCCACAGTTGGAAGGACAAGGCCTCGAACTATGAATGAAGCTCAGTGCAGTTCCGCCAGACAGCTTCGTGGAGCAGCCCTTTGGGAGAATAACTACGATCCTCCCCCTACTTCCCAGAGCCACACGAGACCCTTTGGCTTCACACTGCTGCAGAAACGACCCACGGGCCTTGGACACTGTGCACAGGGTTTCGAATGTGGGTCTTTTCCAGGCCTGTGCTATGCTGTGCGGCACAGCCCTCTTGCAATGCTGCAGCAAGGACCCCAGCTCCCCGTCACCCTGAAATGATGAGCAGACACCCAGTACCTTGTAGGGTGCCATTGCTAAGATGCTCGGTATGTTAGGTTTACCTGAGGCGCTTTCAGCTCCTGATACGTCCAACTTGGGGCTCTAGCCCTATCCTAACTGGAGGACCATCTGCAGATGGTTTCACTTTCAAGACAAAACCAAGTCACAAGGATCGAGCAGACTGGGCAAGACCCACCAGCGCCAACCCCTGCCTCCCCACCTCCCCAGCCTTATCCCCAGTCACCCTCTGCCTGTGCTCATTTACAGCCCTCCCTGTCCCCTCAGCCAGGCCTCTGTTGACCTCCGTGTGTCCCTTATTTTCTGTATCTGCTTCAGGAAACTGAGCTGTCTGAACTTCATGTCTCTCGTAAGGTTATTTTCATATTATCTCATTAAAAGGTGCCCCTCTCTGTTCAAGTCACGATAACCCTGAGCCAGGGCACCGCTCGGACCACACATACTGCCTAGTTTATGTCCTTATTCATCCTCGTAGCTGGATGTCCCAGTGCAGTGAACAACTTGTCCAACCATGCAGTTTAGAAGCCTGTCCTCTCTGTGTTCTCTTTCGAAGCAGTTATCACATGAAACACGACTGTCCTCACCCTGCCTGGTGCACACACAACCAGACAATAAGACAGTTGTGTTGTGGGGTGGGAGGGAGGGAGAAGACTGAGAGTGGGCTTGGCCAGCCTTGGGTGCCAACCTTCAGAGGGCCGGACACCCTTCAAGTCTGGCGGAGGGTGCGGTACCAAGCTCACTGTGTCTTCTCTCCTGTCCCCAAGATGCTGGCCCAGAGGGACCCGCTGGTCTCCAGGGTCCCCCCGTCCTGCCTTCTGCAGCGCTGGAGAGCAGCAGCCTGAACCAAGATAGTCCCGAAGACGAAGTCACCATGGCACCTCCAAAGCCCGCGCAGTCTGGGGAAGAGCTGGGGGAGCCGGAACTGGAAGGGACGGTCCCCTCCTCACACCGCCACCCCACGGACTTATCGCCACTGCCCCCAGAGGTGGCTGGGACTACGCACACACTCGCCCCCAGGAAGAAGCTACCCTTGCTCAAGTCGGTGACCTCGGCCCGGAAGCCACCGAGACCCAAGGCCAAGTCCACTTCCGCCGACGCCGATGTGCACCCCGTAGCATCCGCGGATCCCGGTCTCCACTCCTCCTCCATCAAGAAGCCCCACCCACCAGGGGAGACGGACGCGGGGGTCGCCTCCCAACCTTCCTCGGAAGGGCCCATCTGGCTGCAGGGCAAGGAGGGCACGGTGCCCACGACGCCCGAGACGCTGCAGATCTCCCCTTTCACCTCGCAGCCCTTGGTGGCACACACACTCCTGCAGAGGCCCGAGCCAGGGGACCCTGCCGCGCAAGCGCAGGAGGACGCCCCCGAGGCGCCGGCTGAGGATGCCAGCCCCGGGACCTTGATGGACAAGGGCGACAACGAGCTGACTGGGTCGGCCTCAGAGGAGAGCCAAGAGACCACCACGTCCACCATCATCACCACCACGGTCATCACCACCGAGCAGGCCCCAGGTACGCAGCCCCGTGGCCCAGGGCCTCCTGTGCCCAGGGGAGCCCACGGCCCCCAGCCCAGAAGTCTGGCTCTGTGGTTTTCAGGCTAGCATGCCCATTTTAAAGATGAGACACCTGAGTCTCTGCGACACCAAAGCCATAATGCAAAGGAGCAGAATTAGAAAGTTCTTCACTTTAAAACAGAGCTCTTTAACCTGATGAGAACACAGGAGCCACTGCAGGGTGTCCAGTCCCCACCCCTGTAGTGTGGATGGAATCACAGAGCCACACCACAGCCCCACGGGCGCTGGCTTTCCCCAACATGTGAACTTCATATCTGAGAGCCCCCTTTCCTTGCACTCAGCCAAGCACTCAAAGAAAATATTCAGAAAAGCCTGCATCTGTACTGAACATGTACAGGCATTTTTCTCGTCATTATTGCCTAAGCCACACTGTGGCTAAGCTGCTGTTTACACAGCCTTCAGTTTGTCTCAGGGATCGTGCATATCTTGAAATGTAAAGCCCACGGGGAGATGTAGGTAGGTTCTGCGCACACACTAAACCACTTTGCGGGAGGGCCTGGAGCGCCCGTGGGTTCTGGTATCTTGGCGTCCTGGAACCAAGCTCCCGTGCGTACCAAGGCAGGGGTGTGCTCGTTTCTCAGAGTGGCGCACACGTGTGTTCAAGTCTCGCCTCCATGGAGCAGGGCCCCGCCGTCGGGCACACGTCAGCTTTAGGCCTACAGCACCCGGCATCCCAGGTGGTCTCCCATCCAAGTGCTAACCAGGCCCGACCCTGCTCAGCTTCCAAGATCAGATGGGATAGGGAGCTTGGGCACACATCAGCTTTAGACAAATGCAGTGTGGCCTCTTACTGAAGTCTTAAGTGCTGGGGTGGGGTGTAGCTCCACCCCAGTGGTGGAGGAATACTTGCCAGCCCAGCACTGGTTAAAAAAAAAGAAGATTAAACTCTGGCCTAAGTCATGCTTGCTGTGTGAGCTTAGCCTAGGCACAGCCCCTCTCTGAGCTTTTAACGTGATTCTAACGTGGCAGTGTAAGATCAGCATACATGAGGATAGGTCTGCTCGCCCCATAGGCTGGTTAGCACTGTGCCTAGCGCCGTGCAGTAAGTGGCCATTGCTGTTCCATCACACGAATCCCAGAGCCATGGAGAATAAACAGCACAGGGTAGGGGCGGGAAGACACAGCTCCCCCTAGAGGCCAGTACCAATCCGCAGCCCATCTGTGAGTTTTTCTCTCAGGGTTTCTTGGAGTCCTAACTAGTCTTCCCCTCAGCTCTGTGCAGCGTGAGCTTCTCCAACCCTGAGGGATACATCGACTCCAGCGATTACCCACCGATGCCCTTCAACAACTTCCTGGAGTGCACATACAACGTGACGGTCTACACTGGCTACGGGGTGGAGCTCCAGGTAACCACGGAGGGGCACCTGCAGTGGTTACCTTCCAGAGGAATTCACCGGAGCACTGTCTGAATCAGGCTTGTTATTGTTACTCTGCTAATGGATCTGGTTTTTCGCTTAGCTCTCACCTGGGCTATTTTCAATGGGTTTTGATGAATGAGTAGGTGTTCCCAGATCAGTGCAGCGCTGAAATAGCTCGGAACACACGGAGGCAGCATGCTGCTAAATTGTGAGGCGTTTCACCCAGAATGAAAGTCCTCGATTCCCTGCTTATCAGACACACATGGGTGCACACACACACACACACACACACACGCACATGCACCATCTGTTCAGCCTCCCATGATACAGCTACAGCGGGTCCTTTCTTCCCTCTCCGCTCCTGGAAAGTGGAAGTTACAAAGCATGAGGACAGTGCAGAAAAGGGATCAGCTCCCCTGGAGTTGGAGGATGAAAAGGCAGCGGGCCTGAGAGGGCCCTAGAAACAAGAGCCCCGCCCCACACTTGCCAGTTCATGCAGAAGAAGGGACAGTGGATTTGATTATTCTGTAGAAGTAGTGATTAAATATGCAGTCGGTGTTTAAATCGCTTTTGGTTGTATCACCTCAAAAGACATACTAACTCTCCTCCAAATATTTCCCCTTGGTTCAAACACACCCATCCCATCTTCTGGCCCCTTTCTGAAACAGTTCTGAAAGTCCTCTTTCGTGAGTGTCTTTGTGAGGTGAGGCCACAGAGTGCCAGACAGAAAGGAAGCTCATGAAAACATCTGCCTCATTCTCCAGATCTGGCGCTGTGTGATTCCGGCTCCTCCCCCAAGTCCCAGCGGACTCTGCAGGGCTGGGTGGGGCTCGGTGCGCCTGGGTCCCATGGATCAGGGCTGGTTGGGTGTGGCCTTGGCATCCTGGGAGGACCCTGCCTGCAGCACACTGAGCTCTCTCTCCTGCCCCAGGTGAAGAGCGTGAACCTGTCAGAGGGGGAGCTGCTCTCCATCCGCGGGGTGGACGGCCCCGCGCTGACCGTGCTGGCCAACCAGACGCTGCTGGTGGAGGGGCAGGTGATCCGCAGCCCCACCAACACCATCTCCGTCTACTTCCGGACCTTCCAGGATGACGGCCTCGGCACCTTCCAGCTGCACTACCAGGGTAGGGTGGGCCGAGGCAGGGGAGAGGAAGGCGTCTGTCTGTTTCCCTTCGGACCCCGATTACCAGACTTTTTGTGCCAGATACCCCTCTGGTTGTTTGCTAAAGCCATCAGACCCCTTCTCAGAATAGCACTCTTAAAAGCATAAAATAGAGAATACACAATGTTAAGGAGCCAGTCCTATTGAATTGCAGTTGTCAAAATATCATTCGAATCTATAGTGTGGTAACCCCTGTGCTTTATTCAGACACGAGTCCCATCTCCTAGTGGTTCTGATAATGACTTTGATTTCAAGGTAACAAAGAGCATACGAAACATGTCAAGATATACACGGGGATGCGAAATCCTCTGTGGTTTCTGTTGGCGACAAAGCCTCGGTTCCACTAAGACGTTGCTGTCAGATGCCTGCAGTTGGGATGGAAGCTAATGAGGACGAGCCGGCGGCGTCTCCGTATTCAAGTGCATGGCCCCCGAGTCCCACCGTGGCTTCCCAACCAGTGTGCAGACCCCCAGGGCAGAGCCTGGCCACCACCCCTCTCCCCTCCAACTGTTCTTTCTCCCCTGAGCGTCCTCTGCCTGCTTTCTGTCCATTGCTGTCCTCTTTGTCTTTCTCTGTTCCCTCTCGTTACTTCTCTCTTTTCTGGCTGCTGGCGTTTCTTCCTCTCTTCCTTCCCACCCCTCTCCTCCCTTTCCTCTTGGACCCTTTTGCTCAGCTCCTGCCCGTGAATCGGGTGTCCCCCCTCACCGAGTGCTCCCTCCCCTGCCCTCGGAGTTTTACCAGCGGCCAGAATGTCTGCGCGGACAGCGGGCAGCTCCGCACATCTGGGTGCTGAGAACTCTCTCCGTGGCCAGCACATTGCTCAGACACCTGGAAAAGCCCCTCATTCTTCGCTTCTCCCTCCGATGTGTGTGACGCAGGAGGCCGACGCGTGTGGGCCTGCGTCACATCTATTCAGTGCCAACACCACCTTGGGTTGTCATCGCGGATTTCAAATAGCAGAAAAGGAGTTGGCTGAGCCACGAATTCGCACGGATTCCTAATGCGTTGGGAATGAGAATTCGTATAATCTGTGCTCCAGGAGCAGTCAGGCCGTGGTCTAGGAGGAGAGTCGGGATGAATGTGTCATCACTGTGTGGAAACCGAGATCGGCCTGACCTCTGCACCCATGCAGTGCCCTCCGACTGAGGCCTAACTCTGTGCCAGGCACTGTGCTCAGGGGGCCTTGTCCACCGTCGTTGCCTTCAGCACCACCTGTGAGGCAGCAGCAACTGTCAGCTGCCCCAGAGGTGACATTCGGGGCTGAGTCAGTGTCCCCAGGTCACAGGGCCTCTGAGTGGCACGGCAAGGCTGGGAGGGCCCCGAGGCCTCCTCCAAGGTCCACGCTCTGACCTCCCAGGCCAGTGGCTCTAAGCTTCCTCATCCCCAGGCACTTCCCAAATGGTTGCTCCAAGAATCTGCACTTTTAACTTTCGAGCAGACACACTGAGGTGTGCAGGTGGGAACCAGCCTAGCTAGGCTTCCTGCCTCTCCTCAGCCTGGAAAGGAAGCCACGCAGGCAGGAAGGAAGGCACCAAGCAGCTACGGGAGTGCGATCTTCTCCCAGAACTGCTCTCCCTGGCAGGCGGGGTGGGGAGTTTTAAGCCCTGAGAGAGTGTTGACCTGGGAGCTTCCGCACTGTGATCAGTGAGGGACACAAAAACACTCTCCTCCCGCCCCTCAGGCACACGGTGTCCTGAGGTCTCGTTGGCCGCCACGGCACGAGTCGCTGCGGGGCGTGGGCCACATCCCCGCCCTCCCACACCGCCACCACGGGGTCACCTCTCCCTTCCTCCCCAGCTTTCAAGCTGAGCTGCAGTTTTCCCCGCCGGCCGGACTCCGGGGACGTCACAGTGATGGACCTGCACTCGGGCGGGGTGGCCCACTTCCACTGCCACCTGGGCTACGAGCTGCAGGGCGCCAAGACGCTGATGTGCATCAACGCATCCAAACCCCACTGGAGCAGCCAGGAGCCCGTCTGCTCAGGTAGGCGCCACCGCCGTGGGGCCCAGCCCAGTGCGCCCACGGGAGGGAACAGGTCAAGCCCCAGGACATCGGGAGTGGCCGGGGAGCGACTCTCAGCCCAGATGGGACCACTCCAAAGTCAGATGCTGAGACCGTTGAATTATTTTAATTGGGGCAAAGAACGCATTGCACAAACTTTGCCATTGGAGGCTTTTAGTGCACCTGTGAGGTGCAGCTTTCACTACTGTCCAGTTCCAGGACAGGAACCTGTACCCGTTTAGTTATCATGCATTCTCCTCCCCATCCCAGCAAACACCAGGCTGCTGTCTGTCTCTGTGGGTTTACCTACTGGGCTGTTCATGTCAGTACAGTCGGGCCTCATGTGGGTCTTGTGTCTGGCTTCTTTCATTTGCAGTACCATTTTCAAGGTTCATCTGTGTTGTAGCACAGGGTGATACATTGTTCATTTTTTAGGCCTGCGTAATATTCCATCCCCTGGAGCTATCATAGTTTGTTTATCCATGCATCAGTGGGTGTGTGTTTGAATTATTTCTATCTGTTTGCTCTTGTACATAATGCTGCTGTGGATATTCACGTGCAGGTTTTTCTGTGCGCGTAAGTTTTCGTCTCTCTTAACTGATACCTAAGAGTGGAATCACTGAGACGTGTGGTTTAGCTTTTCAGGTGGTATCCAGCCATTTTCCACAGCAGCTGCACAGTTTTCTGTCCCACCAGCATCTCTCCACATCCTCGCCGACACTTTCCCTCCTCCGTGTTGCTGCTGTCCCTGCCAACCTGTTTGGCTTTGAGTTACGTTTCCCTGACAGCTCAGGATGCAGCATCTCTTTATGCACCATTGGCTATTGTGTGTATCTTCTTTGAAGAAATGTCTGTTCCAGTCCTTCGCCGTTGCTTAATTGGGCTAGCTGTGTTTGGTTGTTAGACTGTGGGAGCTTTTTCTATATTGTGGAGAGTGAACCACTATCAGATAGCTGGTTTACAAGTATTTTCTTCCATTCTGTGGGTTTCTTTTCACTTCTTGACAATACCTTTGGGTGCAAAAGCATCTTTAACATCATTGAAATCTAATGGTGTCCTTTGTTGCTTGTGCATTGGGTGCACCTGCTGTCTTTTTCTGTTTTTGTTTTGTTTTTGAGCCCAGCCACTGAGCAAGAGGACACAGTTGATAGCTCACAGCAGTGCCAAGTGACAGGAACATTATTCCCATTTGACAAATGGGTCTCAGGGAGGTCAGGTCACTTACTCAAAGTCACCAGGTAGGAGTTGGTGAAGGTCACCTATAATGCAGGGAAGCAAACCTTCTGGGTCTGCAGATGGACCCCAAGACTTGGGAGACAGAAGGGGAGGCACACGTGGCCCTTTGCCACCCAGAACCTTTCCTGTCTGTATGATCTCTCAGCAAACATCCCCGGGGCACCTGTCATGCCTGAGCACCATGCCTGGCCTGGTGGTCTCCAGTCCACTGCAGGATGTGGTGAGGAAGGAGAGGCACGATGGCCACAGACTGTGGTGAGTGCAGAGATACACAGGGTGTGGCAGTGCAAAGTCAGGCCTGACCAAAGGCACCAGTGTGCCAGGTGCAGCCTCAGAGAAAAGGAACCAGCCGGAAGAGGAGGAGTTATGACCAGGGCACTGGGAAGGAGTCCCAAGGACAGGGCTCTGAGACCAAGCCCAGGACGCCAGTGGGAGATAACTGGGTTGAAGGTAGACGTCCGAAAGCAGGCGTGTGAGGAGAGTAAAACAGGACCGACCTGGGCTGGGCATCATGATGCACACCTGTGAGTCCAGCACTGTGGGAGGCTGAGGCAGGAGGGTTACAAGTTCGAGCCTAGCCTAGGCAACTCAGTGACTTAGCAAGACCTCGTCTCAAAATGAAAATAAAAGGGGCTGGAGATATAGCTCAGTGTGAAGGCCCTGGGCTCGATCCCAAGGTACACACATGCACGCACATGCACACACACACACACACACACACACGGGTCTGGCTACAGCACAGAGAAGATGGCAGGACAGGAGGCTGGGTCAGTGTCAGCTCTCGTGGGCTCAAGGCCGAGGGCTGGGAGATGTGCAGACCAGGCAGGCAACACCTGCTCGAGCTTACGGGTAGGAGGGGTCACTCCGGCTTCCGCGTGGCCGTCGGCTGTGGGAGTGGGCGTGGGCCCGTGGCTGTCAGCTAGGACAGCACGCACCACGCCGCGCGAGTGCAGGGCTGGGCTGCACTTCACGGTGAGGAGGATGCAGTGCAGACAAGGGAAGCCACAGCGAGGAGCACTGGGCTGAGAGCAGGGCGCTTCCTCTCTGCATCCCCTGCTCACAGTGTGATCCCGCGATCACTGAGATGTGCAGAAGGGCACCGTCCAGGGCCCACACACCTGCAGACAAAGCAGAATCTGCCATGCAGCACAGCCTCCTCGTGGCCCGTGTGTGCGGTCACCTGGGAAGCACTGAGCTGGGCCACACTCCCGGCGCGGCCTTAACCTCCTCAGCTTCTAGGGGGTTCGCAGAAGGCCTGATGATGACCAGCAAAGTGCAGACCGCCTGTGTGAACTGAGCACCTACTATGCGCCAGGCCCTGAGCCGCACACAAAGCGAATCGGGGAATTATGCAGCATCAAAATCCTTGCCATTCATCATCCAGTGGAACCCAAACAGCAAATAAGAGCTGATGATAACTCACCAGATTTAACTGTCGCAATATGGTTCCCCAGGGCCTTCAGAATTTTTTCTTGCTGTCCTTTTTTTAAACAAAAGGAAAAAAATCCAAACTGCAGGGCAGTGGGTTTCTGCTCCTCTTTCATGTTAATTTTTATCTATGTGTGAAATCGGAGAGGAATTAAGCCGCCATTTGTGCTAAGAAAGATGGATGGGGAGTCACGACCGGCAAATTGAAGCCAAACAGAGCCATCAGTTGGCTTAATAAGGCAGAGAAGGGACGGAGAGGCGGCAGATGAGCAGTTCACAGAGGACAGATGGCCACCGCACCCCGCCAGGGACAGAGCCCTCGGCGGCCAGGCCACCAGGCAGTGGTGCTGGCTGGGTCTTGGGCTCCCCGTCCCTGCCAGGGAGGGGCAGTGGGCTCTCCGCTGTCCCTTCACGGAGTCCTCATCACGGCCCTCCCAGGAGGGTGGCACATGAATTCCCGTCCTACGGGAGGTGACCCTGCAGAGCAGAGAGCTTCGGCCACCTGTCCTAGACCCACGGTCGAGCTGTGAAGCTCAGGCTGGCTGACTTGAAAGGACGATCTAGCCACCAGGGGCAGGAAAGGAGCCTCGGGCAGGGAAGGTGCTCTTCCCCCATGCCTTGTCCGTGACCCTGCAAGACGTACGATGCTCGGGGACAGTGTCTTTGCTGAACGTCACAGCGGAGTCCAGAGCAAAAAGATCTCTCCACCTCTGTGCTGCTGCCAATCTTATTCCAGTCATGCAGTCATTCAACAAACACTCAATGAGTTCTCTACTGTGCATTGTACACTGAGCTGGTGCTGGAGGTATGAAAGAGAAAATACTCGCATTTTCCATTCAGCAGGCATGTGTGGATCTCCCACCATGCTCTGGAACAGCCAAACAGCATCGTGAACATGACATAGGCTGGAATATGCCGCAGATGTTGTAGGAAAGCAGCCTGGGTTAAGTCCAGGCGCCCCGCTTTCGAGCCGTGTGTCCTTGAGCAAGTGGCTGCACCTCTCTGAACTTCTCTTGAAAACTGAACAGTGTCGCTTGTTCTGTACATATCCCTGCACCAATGGAGGCGGACGGCGTCGATTCGGACCTGGGCTTCCGGAGGAAGGGTCGCCGAGCTCTTGGGTGCCCCCGGAAGGGGGAGGTGACTCGGGGTGTCGCCGCGGGGCCCTCCGGTCCCATGCGGGGCCTTTGGGGCACTGCACACCCATCCTCCTGTCACCGTCGAGGCCTGCAGCAGTGACCTGGGAAGCACCGCCTCCCTAGGATAGGAGCCCGAACACTGCCCAGTGGGTGAACTGAAGAGATGCATGGCTCTTTCTAAGCTCAGATCACTTTTTAATGTTTCTTCATTAGATTTTTTATGATAAAAGTTATATATGGTCCTAGTTTTAAAAAAATTTTTTTCCAAGAAATACAAAAGGTAGAAGCAATTCGCTTTTATATTCATGATCTCAACCCATCCTTGCAAACAGCTCATGGGAGTCTGTACATTTTCTAACTTGCTTTGCACGCTTAAAACATGGTGAACGTTTTCTTATGTCCTTCGATATTCTTTGATAACACCGTGCTGGATAAGTACGTGGACAGAGTGTATTTATGTCACCAAACATTTGTGAGTAAGTATTTGTGTTAGTTTTTGTTTCGAACTCTTAGAATGAAGCAGTGGCTCTCCTCGTCCATAAATCTGAACACGAATCTCTAAATCTTTGCATAGATAAGTTCCCAGAAAGCTAATTCCTAGGTCAAAGTATCTGAAGGTATTTTCCAGACTTTTCATTAATTGGCCCCCACACCTCACACTCTAATGAGTCATGGATGAAACAGGTTGTCTCCCTTCAGCGTCTCCAGATCTTACTGCTGCTCTGGATCCTCACCAGCTAGGTGGAAAAAAGCATGGTAGATTTGCATTGCTTTTCTCATGATGAGGCTGAATTGTGTAAGTTTCTGAGTACTAACTGTATATTTATTCATGATGAGCTGCCTCTTTATGTCCTTGATGACCACCTTATGAAGAAGAGTCAGGGCCCACCTGACCCCCTTGAGTCCTTATGCAAGGTCTCCCCACTTGATGCCCCAGGCAAGGGGCCCGCTGCCTCCTCCCCCTCCTCTTCCTCCCCCTCCCCCTTCCCTTCCT